TTTTCTAATTTTTTGATACCGTTCTTTTGTCTCGATACTCAACTTGCCAGTTGCCAAAAAACTGGCTTATTTTACTCGTTATTTATTTATTCGAATGCACATATAAAGCATGTCGACTCATTGTCACCTTATCACGAAACCATAGACTTCGATGTGCACGTCGGTCATTTTATGTACCATGAGCAGCACGCGAAGGATGGCAAGAACTCAAATTGCTTTTCTTGTAGCTCTTCCCACCTTTGAGTCCTTGATAACAACAAAATGCTGACAACTTTTTNTTGATAACAACAAAATGCTGACAACTTTTTTTGAAAAATTTAAAGTTGGCTACATGATTCCTCTTTACTACTATGTTCAGATCTACTAGAAAATCTAAAGTAACAAGAGTATGTTTGACTAAGCTTAAAATTAAGCCCTTCTTTCATAACCATTCTTTCAAAACTAGATTTTTCTCATACTCATTTTCAACCACACTTTCTCATAATAAAATATTATTCACGTAAACTTAAAACTTTTTCCTACTTTTTAACCATACATTCTCAAAAAATTACTATTCCAAAACTCATTCTTCCCAAAAAATTCAAAAGAATAGCTGTTAGATAGGCCCTAAGTAATAGTCAAAGTAATTTGTTGTTCATGAACATGTTTTGTTATGTAATCTTTTTCTTACTAAGAAAAAAACTATTCATTTTGAAAGTAAACCTCTTAAGCTTAGCCAAACATGCTCCTTAGCTACGATAGGCCATGCTAATTTTGATCTATCCCTCACACGTTCTACGAAGATTGCATGATTTGTATGAACAAAAGCCTTTTAAGCTATACTTTTTTACCTTGAAAAACGCAACACCAATGTGGACAGCAGATGTCAGACACACTCACGCTACTTAAGCAAGTTCCGATGCTTTTTGATCAGAAAATCGGACGAAGTAAGGGAGAACGTGAATGCGGGAGATGCTTTACCGTGCGAGACAAAAGTGTTCATTCACCGGTGACAGTAACTAAGATGATTGAACTAACAAAAAATCACCAACAAATTAACAATAACTTAAGTTAAAACTGAAACATGTTGAGTGTATTCTCGTATATTATAATCAATGTTTAAAAGACCATCCGAAAGCTCCTTACAATTTACAAAGACCACCTATTTATATTGTTCTGGCCGACGTGGTGTCCATTGGATCAGAACCACATGGCCTCATCTTCTTGACTAAAGCCTCATATCATTAAGTCTATCATACAATAAATACATTGACAATTGGTCAGTCGTCCTATACATTAGGCTGACACACATGACATTCTTTATTACAAACGTTATATCAATCATTCCTAAAGATTGTCTGCAAATCTGGTAAGAGACAACTTCAGCTTCAGGCACTTTGGAAGAACAAAGGGCTTCGACCGGAGTGACTTTCGTATTGGTGATCTTCTGTGTGAAGAACTTCGACTTTCTCACATAGTGCTTCGGCTTAACAGTTTCAACCATTTAGGCAGTGCTTCGGCCTTTATTTAATTCTTTGCATTTGACAAATTCGAATGCCTACTAGAAGCTGGTTGTCGAAGCCTTGGAGAATGCAAATAAGGAGAATGTTGGCTTAAAGCAGTAGGTGGGAAGTTGAACAGTAAGGTTACTGGCTTAAAAGAAGAGGTTGAGATGGCGAGGTAGGAAGCTCAATCTGCTGGTGATGATGTTGTAAAGCGTTATATTTCCAACTTCCACTTAACGGAGGCGTACCAATGCTTCATGAAATACTGGCGGAGGAATACTTATACTGAGATGGTAGAGTGGATTGAAGTCAAATTTCAAGCCTTCAATACCTTTGAGTTGATGTAAGAATTTTTGGAAGAGGGAAAACAAGAGCGTCAAACTTCGGCAGAGGGTAGCCACGTGATCGAAATTGAGGATGATGCTGCTAAAGAAGCTTCTGGAGCTGTGGTTCCCAGTGCCATAATTCACTTTGTTGCTCCTTCTCTCCCACGTGTTTAACTGATAGGTTTTTGTTTTTTTGCATTATCCATGTAAATGGCTTCAGCTCACAATTGTAAATACTTATTTAATGAATAAAATTTTCTTTTTGTCTATATACTTACTTATTTTTTACTTTCTGTACTTTTAGCATACTTTACTTACTGCTTTGCAATGCTTTTCAACCTACTTCATTTGCAATTCCTTATTCAAATTTGTATTTTTGTACCAGTGTTGAAGGTTGTTTACCTTTCTAACTTGACATCTGAACTTATTTGCGGAATGTGTATGATCCGATGCTTTATTGCGCTTTATTTGCACTTCGACTTATTTTCAATTTGCAAACTTGTAATTTTGTACAATTGTTGGTAGTTCGCGTGCTTTTTATTTATTTCCCTAAGCATGATATTGAGTGGTTCGCGTATGCTGAGGCTTTCTTAACAACCTTTGTTATTAAGGGCATGTGTTATCCACTTTGTAAGTAAGGAGGTGGTCCTTTTTAGGATCCAGTTCTTCGTCGAAGTGCTCACGCTTCTCTGCATAGGGACAACTCATTTATGCAGAGACTTCTCCCTTGACCTTTGTTATTAAGGCTTCTCCCTTGACTTTATGCAGAGGTGCTTTTTCTTTTATTTTTCGCAAACTTGACTTAATAAAATTGAGAACAAATGTAACTCAATAGAATTAATAATTTTCCTGAGCATGAGATTGAGCGGTTTGCCCATGCTAAGGCTTCCTTAACAACTTTTGTTGTAAGAGCATGTACTGTCCACACCGCGAGTAGGAAGGTGATCCCTTTTGGGATCCAACTCTTCGTTGAAGTGTCCACGCTTATCTGCATAGGGACGGTTCATCTATGCAGAGGCTTCTCCTTTGACTTTTGTCAATAGGAGGTACTTTTTATTTACAAACACTTTAATAAAAGTCATTTCATTGAATAAAAAAACTGTACAAACTGTATATTTACATTTTTATTGATAATGTTTCCGCAAATGCTCTGCATTCCATGGACAAGGCTATGCCTTGTCATCCATATTTTCAATTTTATAAGTTCCAGGTCGAACTTCTTATTTGATACGATAGGGACATTCCCAGTTTGGACCAAAGGTTTCTGCCCCGTGCTCTTTAGAAGATAAGAATACCCTTCGAAACACCAATTCATTCAAGCAAAATGACTTCTTCTTAACTTTAAATTTGTAGTATCTAGTCATTTTTCGCTGGTAGATAGCCAATTTTGCTTGAGAATCATCCCTAATTTCTTTAAGGAGGTCTAGTTCGTACCTTCTCAGTTCGTCATTAGATATTTCTTTAAAATGAATGCGACGAGGAGAATGCAGACCCACTTAAACAGGGCTCATAGCCTCGGCTCCATAAGCCATAGAGAAAGGAGTTTCTCCCATAGCTATTCTGCTCGTAGTTCGGATGGCCCATAAGACTTGAGGTAGCTCGTCTACCCAAGCCCCTTTAGAAGATTCCAACTTTCTTTTCAGAGCATATTTGATAGCCTTTTTAACGGCTTCTACCTGCCCATTTGTCTGAGGATGATGTGATGAAGAGAAATGTTTCCTGATGCCCATATCCTCACATAAGTTTCTGACCTTCTTATTGTCGAATTGTCGTTCATTATCCGAGACAATTTAATGGAGAATTTCGAACCTACAAATGATGTTTTTCCATAGTAAGTTGGAAGTATTCGCTTAAGTAATCTTGGAAAGGGGTTCAGCCTCTACCCATTTGGTAAAGTAATCAATAACGACAATCGCGAAGTTGAGATTGCCCCTTCCCTTAGGTAGGGGGCCTATAAGGTCAATCACCCATTTGGAAAACTGCCGGGGTAAGAAATAATGCTTAGTTCCCGAGAAGGTTGCCTCTGAATTGTAGTGAAGCGCTGACATTTATCGCATCTCTTTGCAAACTGCTATGCATCATTTTTTAATGTGGGCCAGTAATATCCTTGTTTTAACATCTTTTGCGCTAAGGACCATCCTCCCGAGTGGTTGCCATATACTCCTTCATGAATTTCTTGGAGCATATAGTTGGCTTGTTCTCCCCCGATACATTGGAGTAAAGGCAAGGAGAAACCTCATTTGTATAGCACATCATCTTAGAAAACGAAATAAGCGGCTCGTCTTCTAAGTTTCTGTGCCTCCTCTTTTTCAGAGGGTAATTCTTGGTCCTTGAAGAACCCTAGTATTAGCTTAATCCATTTTGGAGTATCTTCAACCCATATCACATCTTCGCTTGCTGCAGTAGAGGGTCTAGGAAGGTGCTCTATGGGCACCACAGTGAGCAGTTTCGATTCTTTACTACTTGCCAATTTTGAAAGAGTGTCGATGTGAGCATTTGCTGAATGTAGAATTTGTGGCAATTC